TTCTTTATAGCTTAATGAACGGCTTCTCAGGAAAAAAAAAACTATATTACTTAGTGTGTTGTGACGCATATATTTTTTTTTACACACAGTGCGTTCAAATGATAAGCACGCACTGCTTTTGTAACAACTAAAGGTTCTATCCACAAAAGATTGCACTTCATACATACAAAATTTTGGGTAAGGCCATGTGGGGGTTGGGGAGGGGGTGAAGAACGAAGCGTTTTTTTCCTTTTTTATCTAAAGCACTGCACTAGAAAATACTGCCCACCAAAAGCAGTGTAGTAACAATAAGAATTTGAAAATGTCCCAAGCGTTTTCTCTCACCCTCTCTCTCTCTCTCTCTCTCTCTCTCTCTCTCTCTCTCTCTCTCTCTCTCTCTCTCTCTCTCTCTCTCTTCTTCCCTACCCCTTTTTTTTCTCTCTCTTTTCTTCTCACTCTCCCTCCTCCTCCCTCTCTCTCCCTCCCTCCCCCTTCTCCCTTCCCTCTCTCTCTCTCTTATTCCTCCCTCCCTCCCTCCTTCCCCCTCCACGTTCTCTCTCTCTATCTTTTTTTTCTCTCTGTCTGTCTGTCTGTCTCTCTCTTTCTATCTTTTCTTCATCTCTGTCTCTCTCTCTCTCTATCTTTTTTTCTCTCTCGGTCTATCTCTCTCTCTATCTATCTATCTTCCCCCCCCCCTCTCTGTCTCTCTCTCTCTCTCTCTCTCTCTCTCTCTATCTATCTATCTTTTTCCCCTCTGTCTGTCTGTCTCTCTCTCTCTCCTCTTCTTCACGAACTTCCTACCTAATTAATCAGCTCCCGCCGGCGGTAAGGAAAAACAACTGCAAGAGTGTTTGAGGCCTTTTGTGCAGTTCTAAAAGTTGATGGAATTGATCGCGGCTTGCAGTTGATCCTGAGTTATGGTTGATAGATGTACGACTGGATTAGATTTGCTTACTCTGTTCTTCATGCTCTCTCTCTCTGACTTTTCTCTTTCTCTCTCTCTCTCTCTCTCTCTCTCTCTCTCTCTCTCTCTCTCTCTCTCTCTCTCTCTCTCTCTCTCTCTCTCTCTCTCTCTTTTCTCTCTCTCTCTCTCTTTTCTCTTTCACTCTCTCTCTCTCTCTCTCTCTTTTCTCTTTCGCTCTTCTCTGTCTTTCTTTCTGTTTCTCTTTCTTCTCTCTTTTTATCTTTTTTCTGTCTCTTTTCTCTCTGTCTGTCTTCTCTCTTCTATCTTTTTTTCATCTCTGTCTCTCTCTCTCTCTATCTTTTTTTCTCTCTCGGTCTATATCTCTCTCTATCTATCTATCTTCCCCCCCCTCTCTGTCTCTCTCTCTCTCTCTCTCTTCTCTCCTCTCTCTCCCTCTCTCTCTCTCTCTCTCTCTCTCTCTCTCTCTCTATCTATCTATCTTTTTCCCCTCTGTCTGTCTGTCTCTCTCTCTCTCCTCTTTCTTCACGAACTTCCTACCTAATTAATCAGCTCCCGCCGGCGGTAAGGAAAAACAACTGCAAGAGTGTTTGAGGCCTTTTGTGCAGTTCTAAAAGTTGATGGAATTGCTCGCGGCTTGCAGTTGATCCTGAGTTATGGTTGATAGATGTACGACTGGATTAGATTTGCTTACTCTGTTCTTCATGCTCTCTCTCTCTGACTTTTCTCTTTCTCTCTCTCTCTCTCTCTCTCTCTCTCTCTCTCTCTCTCTCTCTCTCTCTCTCTCTCTCTCTCTCTCTCTCTCTCTCTTTTCTCTCTCTCTCTCTTTTCTCTTTCACTCTCTCTCTCTCTCTCTCTCTTTTCTCTTTCGCTCTTCTCTGTCTTTCTTTCTGTTTCTCTTTCTTCTCTCTTTTTATCTTTTTTTCTGTCTCTTTTCTCTCTCTTTCTCTTTCTCTTACTTCTCTCTCCCTCTTTTTTTATCTCTCTACTCTTTTTTCTTTCTCTCTTTTTTCTCTTTCTTTCTTTTATTTTGTCTCTCTTCTTTGCATTTGTCTATCTTTCTCCCCCTCCTCTTTGTGTGTATGTGTGTGTGTGTATGTTTGTGTTTAACTCTATCTCTCTATCTATCTTTCTTACTGTTCTTTTGTTTTTCCTCTCTGCAGTGTAGGTTATTTTTTCAAGTTCCTTTATCGTTTACACTTTCAACTTACTAAATGAATATATAAAGATATAAACCTAAATAAATGAATGAATAGACACAGACACAAACTGTCTATCTCTCTATCTATCTATCTATTAATCTGTTTATCTATCAATAGACAGTTATACATACATGCATAAAGACAATGATAATAATGATAATATAATTGATAATTATTAACAATATAATGACAATGGTGATGATAAGGAGATACGATGACGACAATGATAATTTCATTAGAAAACAACGTAAAAAGTGCAGTTTTGCCAATAAAAAAAAATCCCATAAGTAAAAGGAAAATCACTATAAGTAAGAAAATTCCCATAACTAAAAAAAAAACTTATAAGTAAAAAAAAAATAGTAAAATATATATATATATATATATATATATATATATA